AACACTGGTGTTTACAGCTACATTTTGGCCTGGTAACTGCAAAGAGATGATGGCAATTACCTTGTCTCAGTTCTTCCCTATGCCATTTCTGCACCCAGGAGAATTCCATTTGTCCTGGAGGCCATAAAACATATGGTAAATGATATTTACATATTTTCTGGTCTTAACACCAATTGACCTCCAAGTACAAAACAAAATCCACCAAAAGGTTATTAGTGAGGCACATTGCTTTGTAAATTGCTTCAGAATTATAAAACATCAGTTCCAAGGAATAGAGATAGTCTGACTCCTCCTTGCCTGGCCTTTTCCTCTCTCCCTCTACAATAATGCTCAGCAAGGTGGGTGGATATTTGGGGGAGTGAGATTTTTGGCCATTTCCCTCATTTCTGAACAGTAAAAATGAAATACATGGTCAAATGAAGGTATTTTTTACAGGATAAATATACATAATTTGACCTACACATGCTGAAAGTCTAGAACAGAGCAGCTCATAAATTTCTTTCATTGTAGAATTTAAAATAAAAATCATTAAACAGAGTGAGAGAATATTATGGGAGGGACCAAGGCAATTTGTCAGAGCAGCACAGAGGTGGCTACAGCCCTGGTCTATTTGTAGTGACAGGGAAGGCTGCAACTGCATCACGTTATGTGAGATGTGTGCTGCAGTGGCTGGAGCTTGGAGAGAAGATCTTGTGCCTCTCACTGAACTTGCAGTGGGCACAAGCACTTATATAATTGACAAAAAGACTGTGGAAGCTGGAGATTTTGGAGAAATTTGCAGAGCTGGGGATCAGGAAGGAGCGGGTGAGTGGAGGGAGGACAGCAGCAACTGGTAGAAGAAATGGACAGAGAAAAATCAGTGGTAGCTGACTGGGCGGAAATGCACCAGTGTACCAGGCAGAAGAGTACCAGTGGAAAGGGAGGGAACTGGGCCAGCAAAGGTAGAGAATGGGACTGGAAAGCATTTGTAATCTTTCAGCAAGTCTTTCAACACTTTTCCTCTCAACTGTGATTAATTCTGCTGCTCGTCTGGGCTGGTTTGAGTGTGATGAATGTAAATGAGACCAGTGGGTTGCTAAGGTCTGTATGAAATGCAAAACCAAATGTGTGGTTCATGGCAAATAACTAGTCAGACTTGTGTCTGTGGAACTGTTGCTGTTGTATGCAATCAGGCATGAGGATCTTGATCCTACCAACACTGATGATTGTAGCATTGTAATGTATGCTCCTAATTTCCTTTCAGTATATATAACTGTGTTTGGGTGTCAGGACTTACACTTGGCTCTGAATTTTACAAAGAACTCATTGAAAGATGAAAAAATATAAACAGACAACATTAACTTGCTAAGATCACTCCAAAATAAAGCAGGATCCTCCAAAATAAAGCAGTATCCTCAGAAGAAGTTCCATGATGAGACCCTAACGTTATTTCTTTTTGTCCAGAAATACCTTGTGCTTCACAGGCAGCTTTCTGTTGGTTTTTATTTTCAGTTTCTAATTTGGTTTAGCAGACCATTTGAGAACTGAAAGGTAGAAAATCCCCATCCAACAGAGAAAGTCTTACAAGACTGCAAAGAGGAAGACCTATTTTGAAACCAGGGTGGTTTCCCCTCTATGGTGGTGAACAGGCAGAGTAGCATTTTTATCGTAGGTTAAAACTTAGGGAAACTTAGATTTCATTTGCCCATGTGCATACTTTGCAAGTAGGTACCAGAGAAGGAAGGAGGACTAGCTGAGACTCAGTACATATCCAGGTCTTGCTTGAATACCTTATCTGAGTATGGCTCAGTGCCACGTGCCCTCCAAAGTTCCCTTCCAGTTTCCAAAATCAAGATGAGGCCAGTGGAAATCAGAGCTGTCCAGCACCCCAGAGGGTCATGGTCTTTAATTTTAAGACTAACTACAGTGGATTGAGCGAGGATATTGATGAATTAATTAACTGCTTATTTCAGATGACTACATACCTGTAGGGAAGGCAGAGAAAACATTGTATAAGAAGGGGAGGAAAAAATGCTAGACTGAGGCCACTAGTGAGGCTGACTTTTCAGTCACTGAACTGAACTCCTAATTGCTTTCATTAGTAGCAACTGCTGTTTTAATAATCCAACAACTTGCTTTTCTTGCCCTCAGCAGAACATTTTTCATTTGAATTGGGATTTTTTTGGAACTGAAGGACAGATCAGACATCAATCCACTTTGTAAACTCAGGTACAGAATGAGTGCAACAGTGTGTGTCACACAGACTGTGCTTCTGTATGTACTGGTGGTGTCTTACCTCTTTCAGAGTCATCTCTGCAATGAGGCAGAGCTAGGACCAAAGGTTACTGGGAAAGGACATCCTTACTGGGGGAGCTACTTGTAGTGTTCAGTTTCCACTGGAAGTGTGGATGATACTAGACTTCTCCCAGAGACCCTGGTGAGTGTGGCCAGTGGCAGAGCTCTGCCAGAGCAAGGACAATAGCTGATTTACTTTGGAACCCAGAAAATCAGGAGCTTAGTAAAGATGGTTGGAAGAGATTTGTGGTGGCAATTGACCCCATCAATGAGACACAGAGGTCCCTCAACCGTTGCCTTCAACCTTTTAGTGCCACCCTCCTTGTGCTGCTTCACCCTGGGGTCCACAGAATGAACCTCTTGATGTCCCTGCCTTTCAGAAAACCTTGCTGGTGCCACTGCAGCATCTCATGGCATCAGATAGCCCAGTCAAAACTGCTGAGTGCCACGTGCAGTTTCTCAAACAAAGATGAGAGGCCACCCTTTGTTTCCAGGGGAGACCTTTTGGAGCCAGCAACTTGACAGCAAAAGAATCAATTTATTGTGAAAGTGACCCCTTCCCCCACTCTCAAGAAGGAAAATCCCCAAACACATGGAAGGAGGAAATTTTCAGCAAGAGGCCCAGCCAACAGCAACGGTCAGATTGCAAGCAGTGGCATTTGGCCACAACAGAGGACTGTCCTTTAAGCTCACCTGTAGTCTGTTGCCCCGAGGACTCAAGCTAGTTTGTTTCTTATATTTGTATTTCAGTGCTATCTGTTTCACTCGTGTATCCTAGGTTTTAAAAAAGCTTCATATTCAGCCTATGACTGATAATGCATGGCTTGCTACTTTAGCAAGATTTAATATAACAAACTTCTGAAAGAAACCCAGAAGCTATCACTTGTGTGTTCATTCATATGCTTCAGTAAGACAGTGATTTATTAATAAACACAATTACTTTTTCTGAGTTTGAGGTGATAAACAACCCCTGGTATAAGTGTGCAGCAGGTCAGGGAGTGTCAGCACAAGTGGCTGAGTAAGGAAAGATCCCTGGTGTTTCAAGAACAAACAAGGCAATGTTTAGAAAAGTGATGGGTGAATTAATATGCACCTCTCCAAGGCTCTGCACATGATAAATTTGCTGTCTCCATTAGACCCTTTGCAATTCCTCTTTTGCCCACTTTCTAATAGTATAAAAGCCTGATCACATTTCCATTAAAATCAAGGGCAAATATTTCAGTGCGCTCTTCACAGGATGAGAGCCTTACTATATTTCAGCAGCAGTATTTATTCCACAGAAGGACTTTCTTTGATTCTGCTTATCTTCTATTCTGATTTAATAGGTGTTTTTCAGACAGAATTATGTGGATTTGAATATGGCTCCTCTGAGGGAAAGAAGTGTAAAATTCCCCAGCATCTTGCCAACATTTGTCGAAAACTGATATTAATAAATAGGAGCTTCTTTCTGAAGTAGCTCTGAGAGCTTGGGTAACATTTAAAAATGCTGGAAAGGGAGAACACATCCTGTCTGGCAAGTTGAAGTGTAAAATATGCTCCATGCAACCAGATGGCTGCACAAACTTGTCTGAAATTGCAGAAGGAGACCATCACTTTCTTCTGTGACTGTAAAAACCTGTCAGCAAGGTCTTGTGCTGTGGAAGAGCTATTGCAGGGCTTGGCTGTGGAGTTTAAAAGTCACTAAGAAGGCACCTGGGATGAACAGGAGACACATGGTATACTAAACTGTGGCTTTTTCAAGGATTTTTGCACTTGATTTTTCCAATTTTTTTCTATGCTGCTGGGTTTAATGCTTTTTATTTATTCCCTCTGCTGCTGATATTAAAATATTTGGTTCCCTTTATTCTCTTTTCATTTGTGTGTGTGTGTGTTAAGAACTTGCTATCCGTAGTGAACACATAGAAGTACTGTGTATGGGTGTATAGTGCACATCAGAGACTTTATTCACAGCTATTCCAGACACTGCCCACATGACCATTGCTTTCTCCAGCCTGTTTCACCATCAGAGAGGAACAGCTGAGCAACAGGGCCAAAAGCACCGTACACTTCTAAGAGTGCTTCAGAAAATACCCATTAAATCCCTTAGCAACATGTTTTTTCAGCCTTGAAAATCAGAAATGGCAGCCTTGAAAACACAAAAGATGTACTTGTTTGGATCTCTGCACTGTGACTCCGCAGATGTGAGACAGACTGTTCAAAGCAGCTGAGTGTTGACTCACATGTCAGGTGCAGGGTTTGGGCTGAATCCATCCTTCTCATCCCACCACAGCTGGGCTGGTGCTCAGAAATCCAGGTGGTTCCTTTCCAGTTCTCTGCTCTCTTAAAGAGAAGCAGCTGCTTTTCAGCTGCCTGTGTGCTCTCTTGCACAGCACATTTAGGCTTGTGTTGGAATCCTGGGAGATGCTGGTGCATAAAGGAGTTTTCCTCTTGTAGGGAGCAAACTTTCCCCGTCTCCCTTCCCCAACCCTCCCTGTTTCAGGAACTGGCTGTGGCCAGGATAAGCTGTCTCCTAATAGCAAGCATTATGCTAGAGTGCTTTATTGTTTAACAGCATTAAGCTTTATCAGTGTGACTTGGCTCCCCAGTGTGTGTGGCTGCCTAGACTCTTCAGCAGTCATGCTGAATAACAGGGGGACAAAGGCAGTTAATTGAGGGGAAATCCCCTCACATGGACAAAGAAAATATATTTCTACTGAATAGGCAGCACGTGGAGGGCAGTGCAAAACTTGACTCTTTTACTGTACCTCAACGCCGAAATATTTCTGAAGAAGCAAAGGGATTTGCGTCAGTGTAGCTGAAATTAGAAGCTGGGCTGTCCCTCCCAGACTCCAAACAGAAAAACAGATCCAGACTCTAGACTCTGTATTGAAAAACTCTCATATGCCTGGGAATTAGAAATTTTCTTTGTTAAAAATGAAGTGTACTCCTCGTGGGTCAGCTTCTGAGTTGCTGATGCTCTGCTTGCTGAGTGTGTCAGCTAGGCCCTCTGGTCCACAGAGAAAAACTCCTATTCTGGAGCTGTGAAGAAAATGAAAATATGGTCAGAAACTTGGTATGAAGCAGCTGGATAATCTTCATGTAAATGTATTTTTATGTTCCATAGATGCAAGAGGTTTTTCTCAATTACAGGAACTAAGTAAAACTAGATGTCTATTCCTTAAAACATAACCCCTTAAAACTTACTGCTGCTTCTAAAACAAAGGGTGGGGTAAATCTCAGCTCAGAAGAAGTTGATGAAGACAGCTTTATTGATCTCACTGGATGAAGGAAATAGAGCTTCAAGGACTTTGTGGTTTTTACTACTATGTCTCGGTGCTTAGCTAAAGGTCATCCATATTTGGACATGGTTTTTAGAGGTGGAAAGTGGTTTTGGAGGTATTTAGACATCACATGATATTCCTGTCCACTTCAGCTGGAATGATGGGGTAGATTTTTTTCTGCTAGTAATTAGAGTTTCTAAGAAGTACCCCACCAAAAAGGGACCTTTTTTTAAAAAAAAATTGTTGATCAAAACAATTTTCTCAAGATCATAGATCATGTCCATGGCTGAAAGAAGGATAGAAAATATCTGGAGATTACTAGGGAAAAAATGCTCCTCAACCTTCGTCAGCCAAAGGAACAAGAAGCCCACAGACATAATAAATTTGCACAGGTTTACCCAGGATGATTCCCTGCAATCGTTTTGAACTCATTTTCCCAGTTAGGTCTTCCATACAAGGTTTTCTGTTTCAGTCCTGTAATCACATCTTTCTCTTCTTCATGGTGCACTATGAAGTGAGTGGCCTGTGGGAAATGAAACACAAAGGACAGCATGAAGGCAGAGTTAGACATGACAGCACT